CAATATGAATCCTCCAGATCATCTCCTATTGTTACTAGCTCTCCCTTCACACTGTAACCTTTAAAATTGCAGTTTTCTTTCTCTAGAACTAGCACCTGTTTTCTTCCCTTTCTAACTCTTGCTTATTTTTCACATTATATAAACCTAAACCCCTTCCTTTCAGGCCTTACCTGAAACCTCAACTGTCCCCTGGGTTGGCCTCCCACCGGCTCCCATACCACCTTGAATGCAGCCCTCTCTGGACACCTAGCTCAATTATACATCCCTCCACAAGACTGTCAGCTCCAGAGAACCAACAGGGACACATTTTGTCAACTGCATCCTTTTGTGAAATACCGGGACATTCAAGAGGATAGATTTATTTTCACACACACCATGCTCCCTCTCACCCCTGCACACTTACTGCTCGCTAGCTCTCTCACATGCATGCACCCTCGCAATTAGATATTTACACAGACCATAGACTCAGACACTTTCACACTCCCTCATGGAGTATAAAGATGCCGTAACTATGCATAATCACCAAACCTCTGTCAAAACAGAGGCCTGACTGAAGAGGCGGGATTTGAAGCCAACAACTCTGTCAGTTTCTTTCTATTCCTCCAACTTCCTCTAAAATGAATGGATAGGAGTATACTCTCCCTACAGGCTAGATTCCAGGGATATGACAGATTTGGTACCAATCGCTGTGGAGAATCATCAAATATGTGCTAAAAGTAAAGCCAGCCTAAAGACTGAGTCTTGAGTGTTCACTGAAAGCACATTACTAAGAATACACACTCCAGCAAATCCACAGCCCAAAAATAGCACTTGTATTTACCAACTGTTCTTCTCAGTTTACACTCTTACTAGCAGTATAAAATAAAATATTTCTAATCAAATATTAACGTTACTAAATACAGGTGGCTTAGTTGAACACAATGCTTAACATAGCTGTAAAGATGCAAACTACCTAACATTCAACTTTTAATCTACCTTTTCCGATGCTAAACTCTCAAACTGTCTTTTCCAATACTAACTATATCAGAAATCAGCTAAAGAATGAACATTTCTTGAGGCTATGGTGAGCTATAATTACACCACTGCACTCCAGCTGGGAAAACAGAGAAAGATCTCAAAAAAAAAAAAGAAAGAAAAAAAAAAAGTTAAATTCCAGCAATGACATTTTACTGGCAATGTCTGTTTATGTAACTAATTAAGTGCTCTATTACCTTCTGCCTTTAGAATTTCATTTTTAAAATTAGAAGATAGTAGGAAATTAGACAGCTGGAGATCACTGATTCCTTATGTGTTTAATTGTGAAAAAAGTAGAGAAGATGTAATAAATCTTAGATCTATTACATCTAAAAGGAAAAATGTTACATTGTCTCTCATAATCAATTTTATAAATTAACTCTCATATTCAGTATTTAAAGGTGATTTAGAAAGCACATATGAAATCAACACTTACCTACATGGGTAAATTTAGTCTAAAAAGTCTGCTTACATTTTAAAACATAGAAATGAAAGTAGCTACTAAAACTAAATGCTCTGGAACTTGAATTTTTCAGCCTTCTTCAGCCAACACTTTTGTTTTCATAACAGTATCATCTGTTTTATTTTGTATTTATTCTATTTATTTATTTATTTATTTATTTGAGATGGAGTCTCACTCTGTCGCCAGGCTAGAGTGCAGTGGTGCAATCTTGGCTCACTGCAACGCCCAGCTCCCAGGTTCAAGGGATTCTCCTGCCTCAGCCTCCCGAGTAGCTGGGACTACAGGTGCATGGCACCACACTCAGCTAATTTTTGTATTTTTAATAGAGACGGGGTTTCACCATGTTGGCCAGGATGGTCTTGATCTCTTGACCTCACAATCCACCCGCCTCGGCCTCTCAAAGTGCTGGGATTACAGGCATGAGCCAACACACTCAACCAACAGTGTCATTTAACTCAAAGAGAAAATATATCTGGAAGTATAGTTCTAAAAATCCACTGGAATGTATATTTAAAAAAAAAAAAAAAAAAACCTCTCATAACAATGCACTTTTCATACGCCCTAGTGCTATGGTTTACATATCCCTCCAAAACTCATAGTGGAATTTAACTGTCATTGTAATGGTATTAGGAGGTAGAACCTTGAAGAGGTGATTACGTCATGAGAGCTCCATCCTCCTGATTGAATTCATGCCATTCTCATGGGAGTGGGTTAGTTATATCAGAATTGGGTTCCTAATGAAAGGATAAGTTTGGACACATTTATCTCTTGGTCTAATGTGCTCCCTTGACCTTCCAACATGTTAAGAGGCAGCACAAAGATGTCAGATGCCAGTACCATGCTCTTGGACTTTGCAGACTCCAGAACCAAGAGCCATATATTTTCTTTATAAATTACCCAAGCTGTGGTACTCTGTTGTAGCAATAAAAAAAAAAAAAGAGTGGTCTAAGACACCTAATAAGAACACAAGTCTCAATAATGGGCAGTAAAACTAAACCAGCAAAAGAACTGACATGGTAAGAAACATCTAAAAATATACGAGTCATATGAGTGGCCTGAACTATGTTGCTCCTTAGGCCCTGCTCTCATCAATGCCACACTCCTCTGCTGCTTGGATTCTGGATCTTTGAATATACCTAGATACAGGAATTTGGGCAGAATGCAGTAATTAGTCCCAGCCATCAAATATAGGGTATTCCTCATCAATATCTTTTTCTCTCACCTCCACCCTAATCAGAGGCACAATTTGGATCACATGCAAGCATAAATAGATTACAAAGGCCTTTTTTAAAAAATAGGGGAGTGTGACTGGGCATTGTGGCTCACATCTGTAATCCCAGCAATTTAAGAGGCCAAGTCAGGTGGATCAGCTGAGCTGCGGAGTTCAAGACCAACTTGGGCAACAGGGTGAAACTCCATCTTCATTAAAAAAATAATAATAATTAGCTGGGGAGGTCGTGGTGCAGCACTTATAGTCCAAGATACTCCAGAGGCTGAGGTGGCAGGATCGCTTGAACCTAGGAGTCAAGAGGTTTCAGTAAGCAGAGATGATGCCCCTGCATTGCAGCCTGGCCAACAGAGCCAGACCCTGTCTCAGAAAATAAAATAAAATAAAAAATAAGGGGGGTATGCTTCAACTGACACCATCAAGAACATAGAATGATAACACTCAGAATGGGAGGAAATATTTGTAAATCATATATCTAATAAGGCACTTGTATTCAGAACACATAAAGAATTTTTGCAATTCAATAATGAAAAAGACAACTCAGTATTTGTAAACAGGCAAATGATCTGAATAGACATTTCTCCAAAAACATGAATAACTAATAAGTAAATGAAAATACTTGCTACATTAGTCACTAGGGAAATACAATCAAAATCACATTGAGATACCACTGTACAACCACTAGGATGGCTATAATAAAAAAGACAATAACAAGTGTTAGTGAGGATGTACAGAAATTGGAACCCTCATACATGATTGATGGGAAGGTAACATGCAGATGCCTGGAAAACTGTTTGGCAGTTTCTTAAAATGTTCCATATAAAGCTACCACATAATCCAGCAATTCCACTCCCAGATATATACCCAAGGAAAATAAAAACATATGTTCATATGAAAACTTATACATCAAGGTTCATAGCAGCATTATTCATAGAAGCAAAAAAGTGGAAATAACACAAATCCTACCAACTGACGAATGGATAGGTATGCTATATCTCTACAATGGAATAGTATTGGGCAATTAATAAGAATGATGCACTGATAAAAGCTGCAGTATGGATTAACTTCAAAAACATTAAGAGAAAGGAGCCAGTTACAACAGACCAAATGTCGTATAATTCTGTTTATGTGAATGGGCTTGAATAGGCAAATCTATAGAAGCAATAAAGAGATTACTGTAGGAAGTGAGGAGGATGGGCAGTGACTGCCTAAGAGGTTTCTATTTGGGGTGATGAAAGTGTTCTAAAATTAGATAATGATGATAGTTACAAAACTCTGTAAATACACTAAAAAAATCCAACTTTACACGTCCAATAGGTGAATTTTACAGTATATAGATTATATCTCAAAAAAGCTGCTTTAAAAAGGGAACGAGGAGGATGCAGTAACACACGGTATTTCCCGGTGCCTGAAATAGACTGAATAGTTATGATCAGATCTTTTGTCACTTTGGAAAACGGTTTCCATGTTTAAATCCAACACTCAACAAGACACGAAAATAAAGTATCATTGAAGAAACTGGGGTCCTGGAGACAGTAACAAAATAGTATGTGCATTTTAGGGAAAATACGTGTATTAAAATAGGTCCACGGAATACAGGTGGTGTAAAGGCTTTGGCAAACAATGGGTAAATATTTCTCAGCGGAACTAAAGAGCTTAATGAAAGCTGTTTAAAAGCAACGGCAGCGGCAGCAGCAGCAGCAACAGCAGCAGCAGCAGCAGCAGCAGCTTTTCCAAGTGCCTATTGCTCTCAGTATCTCAAACTGACAGATTTTAGGATCTGCTACTCCTACAATTAACAAGCATCTCAAAGCATAATCAGTAACGGGAAGAGAGAGTGAGGTAATAAGACTCGAGGACCAGCTCCTTACACGTGGGATAACTGTCTTGCACTCTATACTGCTACTTTCTTTGGGAAAGCCTTGGTTTCCAGTGGCTGAATTCGGAGGCCCAAGCACCGCAGCGGTAACCTAGCAGCCCCGAATTACTCGGCAGTTCCCAGGCCTGCAGGGGAGCAAGGAGCGTGTTCCGAAACCATAGGGGTCACGGGTCGCAGGTTCCTGGCGCGCAGGAGCAGCAGAGAAATCTGTGGGGCGCCGAAACCAACCCCACTCACCCCAGGCGGGGGACTCTGCCCTGCAGTCCTGGTTTCGCACTGGGCACGCCACGCTGCGAACCTCCCTAGGACTCAGGCCGCAGGGCGGCCAACGTCCCCCCCCGGGCCCCCGCGCCGCGGGTGGCGGTGTGCAGGAAGCCAGCCCGGCTCTCCCTTGACGCCTCTTGGCGCGGTCCTACCTTCCTCAGTCAACACTTCGAGGAGATTCGGGTCGCCCATCTTCGCCAGCTCGTTAATGACACTGGTGCCCGAGAGGCAGCAGGAGACGTGCAGCTGAGACGGGCATGGAGATCTGGACCAGGTGCTGAATCTGACTGTGGGCAGCCGGAGTTGCTGCTGCTGGATTTCTAAGGGACTGCTCTTCCTTCTGCAGGCCTCCTTCTCCTCCTCTTTCTCCTCTTCCTCCTCCTCCTCCTCCTCGGACTCCACAGTCTCTGGGCACCTCAGCCAGCCGGCCTTCTTCTCCAGCGGGTACTTCCACTCGACCCGGTCCCCGACAACCTGCTCCGTGTGCTTGGCCCCGGGCTTCCCCACCCTCACCCGGTAGCGCTCTTGGGCGCTCTCCCAGTACTTCTCCAGACACCTGTCCCTGTGCCTGCCCGGCAGCCGATCTCGCAGCCGCCACTCCTCCCGGCGCTCGCCAGGGTCCTTTCCACTCCCGCCCTCTGGCAGCTTTCCTTTCCCCTTCGCTCCGTTCCTGTTGTTTCCACGCTTCTTTCCCCGCCTACAGACCGCAAGACCGGCCGGCGCCCCACCCTCGGAGACAGCCATCTCCCCGCCCCCCGGCCTGGCTGGCTCCACGCCAGCCACCTCCTCTCCGCTCAAGCACTCCCCAGGTCCCTGCTCTGCCGCCTCCTGCACCTCCTCCGGACTCGCAGCCTCCGGTCCCTCGGAACCCGTCGCCTCCGGTCTCTCGTTGGGACCCGCCGCTTCCCGTCCCTCCTCAGGACCCGCGGCCTCCGGTCTCTCCTGAGGACCCGCAGCCCACCGGGCATGTTGGCCGGCCTCCTCCATTCTCTACAGGCTTCGCACGTCCTTTTCCACTGGGTCCACCCACGACCAGGAATCCTGGTTCCCCAGGGCTGCCGCCTCCCTCCTGTCGGAATCCTCTTCCTCCGATCCCCACGGGGGGTCCTGATGCTCCCTCAGCCGGTTGGCCGGGTCCTCATCGATCCGCTTGGCCCTAAGCCCACCCTGCGTGCCACTCGGAGAGAACCCCCCTCCCAGTTGGGAGTTACTTTTTGTCGCGTGGGGAAAAGACCCTTTCCCTTAAAGGAACCCCTCCCTATTTAAGGCCGGCGCATGGCTGGAGACCAAGATGCCAGCAGCCCCTTCCCCATAGCGTCTAGAGCGGGAGTATTACCTTTTCTCCTGGCCCTGCCTGCTTCCTGGGCTCCCAGCAGGAACTCTGCCCTCTACAGGTGAGGGAAGGTCATTCCATGTGGCCTGAGTTCCACCAAGTCAGCCTCTGCCCCTTTGTCAGTGTGGGGCACGTTTCTCTAAGTTTCAGTTTTCACATCTTTAAAGGAGAATGATAATAGTACCTACCTCCTAGGGTGTTGTGAGAAGCACGGTGCACAGTCCTTGGCACAGAATGTGTTAAACATTTAACTGCTATTAAGATTAATCCATATTATAGTCCAGCTGGTATGATACCTGTCATCATCTCAGCTGGACGATATCGCTTGAAATCTCAGGAGTTCAAGACTAGCCTGGGCAACACAGGGATACCCCTGTCTCTACAAAAAATTGGAAAATTAGCCGGGCATGGTGACAGGCACCTGTGGTCCCAGCTACTCAGGAGGCTGAGGTGGGAAGATCTCTTGAGCTTAGAAGATTGAGATTACAGGGAGCCACAATCATCCCACTGCACTCCAGCCTAAGCGATGGAGAGCAAGACCCTGTCTCAAAAGAAAGTGAAGAAAAGAAAAAAGAAAAGAAAAGAAGAGGGAGGAAGGAAGGAGAGAAAAGAAAAGAAAATTAACCCATATTACATTGATCCCTACTCCATTTCAAAGGGTTGCTTTGTTTCCCCCCTCCACTTCCTGCCCACCCCAACCAGAACTTTAACCTCAAGAAGAATGAGTCCTTCTACTCCTCACAGGCCTCTCTGCATTGGTTCTGTGCTTTTGAGACCTGATCAACTGCCAACTACACAATAATTGAGAGACTAGATTCACTGTCTAATTGTGGGGGGAACAAGACTGATGATGAACTAACGGTGAGGTAGAGGTCTCAGCTGAGAGCCTTGAGTGCTGAGGAGGGAGTGACTGTATTAGTCTGTTCTCATGCTGCTAATAAAGACATACCTGAGACTGGGTAATTTATAAATGAAAGAGATTTAATGGACTCATAGTTCCACATGCCTGGGGAGGCCTCACAATTATGGCAGAAGGCAAAGGAAAAGCAAAGGCACGTCTTACATGGGGGGAAGGCAACAGCTTGTACAGGGGAACTCCCATTTATAAAACCATCAGATCTCCTGAGATTTACTACCACTAGCATAGTATGGGGGAAATCACCCCCATTATAATCTCCACCTGGCCCTGCCCTTGACACATGGGGATTATTACAATTCAGGGTGAGAATTATTACAATTCGCTGGGCACACCATGCAGCGAACCAGATCAGTGACTCTGAGTTTAGGACAAGGATGGGGTGATTTGAAAGTCAGGATGAGGTAACCAAAGAAGTCTTGACCTTTCTTCATTTTTCTGCTACTGCATTCCCCTCCCCACCACCATTCTATTGATATTTCAGAACTGAGAATCACTTTTTGCAAATGAGAAAACAGGCCTAGAGAGAAGTGTTTTGGTAAAGGTTATGATTAACCAGAGAACTGGAAATCAGTTTTGCCCCTATACCTTACTTTCCTTCTTATATGTCTAGGAATACATGAGCTCTTGTCAAGTGATTTGAGACTATATGTAGGCAATTCCTTACTTGATGTAATTTGGAATTGTGTTTGAAAGGTGACGATACATAAGCATAGACTTACACATTAAATTATAAAGACTAATTGTGATAGAAGTGTTTGGTTATCATCTCTTGATTATTAATCCTTGTTTGGGCTTCTAAGAAAATTTCTACAATATGAATGTTTTCTAATATTTTTCCTGTATATCAGGTATTTTTCTAGGTGCTATGGACATTGTGAGTTAAGAGCTGGGGAGAATCTTTGCTTTATATAGATTAAGTTAAAATAAATAAAATAAAATTATTTTTCTATTATTTTATATAATTTCTTGCTTCATGTTTTTTATTCTGTTCTGTATTTGAAGTGATGTGTATAAGAAGACATTATATGTTGATGATTTGGCTCCAAATTAAATGAAACATTTCGAGGCTCAGTTTGATTAGATTTTTATTAACATGCTTTAAACTTTGTTATAAGAGTTGAAAACCAGCTATGTTCTTTTAATAAAGGTCTGGATTGTGACCATAACTCTTTATATCTTGAGAAATATTTTCTGTATTCATATCATTGACATATTTTATATTGCTTATCCATTTATAATTTTAGGATATGCCCATTTTCTCCTCCATTACTATACTCTGCATTGTTAGATACAATCTTTAACCATACATTTCTAGAATTACGTTCTGAGTAATATATACATGTTCCTTTAATGTAATTGAACATTCAGTTAAGTACTGAATGTAGCCCAAAAGTTGTCTTTTTTATTGAATTCAGCCCAAAGTTGTCTTTTTTAACCCTCCAAATGATTTCAGCCTTTGTTTAAATTATTACAAGCATCTGGTAACACTTTTTCTTATTTGCCTTTTATATCTTATACTGAGTAGTATGCCAAAGTTTTTAAAGGATGATGTAAGCATAGTTACAAAGATATAAATGGTGATATTTTGGAAACTAAATTATCAACTAGCACCTTACAGTATTTGTATGCCTGCTGATCAGTAAAAGTGTGAATTCCCTATAGGAAAGGCATCACAGGAATGTAAGTGTATAGTGTGTGAAAAAAAGAGCCTAAGCTGTATGAAAGTTAAATGTATACTCTTAAGCAACTCCTGCATGTGAAGTTTTTATTATTCTAGCAGGCTGATTCAATCACTGAACTTAACTCAAATTAAAGAGCGTAACTTTACAAGCTAGACTCCGAAGACCAGAAAAGGCCTTAGGAACCCACCTAATGAATATATTTTCCTTCTGGTGTTTAAAGCAAGGATATGGTACCTACCATCTGTGGCCTGGATTGGTTTGCTTTTTTTTATTTCTTCACAAGTCAAAGCTTTGACTCCTGGAAGTTCCCTCCTTTTGGACTTCTTATCATACAATGGTTTTAAAATTCATGTATTCCATGTATTTTGAATATCTCTGCAGTTCACATAAAATGCCATACTCTAATACATGGAGTGTTGTGCAGGAGTGAAAAGACATGCATTAAATCCCTGTCCTTACCCCTTAATAAGGTGGGCAGCACAATGATCATGGACAGATGAACTTGGCTTCTTTCATCCCCAGCTCCCTTCTCTGGATATGAAGTTTCTTAACTTGTTCAAGCCATTGAATGGCTCACATACAACAAAATCTGTTGTAAAAGTCAAATAAGTCCTATGCATGAAAGAAATTTGGAAAGAATTAAAATGTACCAAAATATGAAAAAGTTTTATTGACTAGCAGAGGTAAAGTTAAATTAATAGAGTTACCGGAAGGTAGGAATACTAGTTGAGGGTGTTGTTTCCCCCACACTCCTACAAAATGCCGCTTCCACAGTTTCTCTGGAATTTGCAGTGACTTTCTGACTCCACATATTCACTACTCCTTGGTTTCAGAGGAGAGTCCAAATCTCTTTATTTTCCAAATTGATCACCTTGAATCCTGACATTTTTAGGCCCCAGGCCTTAACAATAGGCCTCAGTCCTCTTTACTAGCTTGTTCATTTCTACCTGCCATCTTTCATTCTTCTCAGAAAAAGCTCACTTTATGGGCTGATACCTGGAACACTAGTGGTCATCAGAAAATGAGGTTTAATACTTGACAGTCACATGCATGCTTGATATTTCCCAATCTCAGGATGGCATATCCTCTCTGTCTTATAGCCAGAAAACTGCCATTTGTCCTCAGACTAAAGAGATCATGGAGAACTGTTTCAGCAATAGAAATGGAGCAAGAAAGCATTATTCTCTCCTACACTTTGCATATGCTACTGCATTAAATCTCAAGATGATATGAAATACATGCTTATCAGACATTTATTGTATTTACTGCATGTCTTGGCTCATCCTTTTTTAAAGCAACCAACTTTATTGAGGTATAATTTATATTTGTCTTAGTCCACTTAGTGTTGCTGTTACAGAAAACCCAAGGCTGGGTAACTTACAAAGACAAAGAAAAGAGGTTCATTTGGCTCATGATTCTGGCAGCTGGAAGGTTCAAGATCAAGCAGCTGTATCTGGTGAGGGCCTCAGGCTCCTTTAACTCATGGTAGAAAGTGGAAGAACAGACGTGTGCAAAGAGATCGCATAGCAAGAGAGGAATCAACAGAGAGAAAAGCTGAGGAAGCCAGACTGTCCTTAACAACTTGCTCTCATGAGG